TTCCAGCAGGAAGGATGTTAATAGCTTCAAACGCTGAAAAAATCCAAGAGGTGGAGCTGATAGAACACAGCCATTAGGCCACTGGATCTGGTGGTCAGCTGCCAGGCCGGCACAGTGGCAGTGACATGTACCCAGGTGGAAGCCACATTTTAGTAGGCGGACAAGGGAACAAAACACAGAGAAATAATCAGAGGGAGTGGTAACTTTAGGCCACTCTCAAAAGTCTAGGTGGTGCAGGGAGGAAAGGATGCATGTGGTTTGCAGGGGAAAACAGCATCTTATAGGATAGCTTTGTTCTTGGCTGTAGATGAGTAGATGGGAAAGGTGGAGGCAAAAGAGGAAGATACAGGTCTGAGGTCCCAGGGGACAAATGAAGACAATGATTGACAGCACGAGTGTGAGGATTAACCCTTGTGCCTCCGCTGGAAGGAAAGAACAGGTGAGGGGGAGGATGCGGTTAAGAGGAATGCAAGGGGTTCAGGGGTGCAAGTCTGAGGACCTATTTTCTTCTGCAGACGCTGAAATGAGGGGTGAGGTGACAGGGCAACTGACGAGGTCAAAGGCTTAGATCAGCTCCAGAGAGTTGTCTCCAGGGCCAGGCACTCACTTGAGTTATGCCCGTGAGCCTCCTAGTGTTTTGCTGAAGCTTCTGCAATCTTGACAGATGAAGATTCGTATACACCCACATTTCATCTTTTCTTGACTTCTCATGCTCCCCAGAGCCATCCCAAGCATCTGGAATTTTTGTGCTGCTATTAATGGTACACAATTTATGGCTATCCTGCATGATGGGGAGTCCTGTGAAGCAACCATTTATAGCAACACACAGAAGCTCTAGATGAGACCCAGGGAGAGCTGCAGTCCAGCACTGGAGACATTCATTCCCATGGACTGCCACTGGGAAGACAGCATGGACAGCTTCACCACACCCACCGCTGTTTCCTAGGATCCAGGAGCAGTGAGGAAATTAACACCCATCTTCCACCCAAAGCCCTCCTGAAAGATCTGCCCAAGGGTCCTGGGATGGTCTTCTCTCATCGGCAGCTTTGTGACAGAGGCAACTGTAAAACCAGAGAGGGCAACAGAAGGGGCCCAAGCTGAGACAAGTGGACTAAAATTCCCCTCATTTCTGTTCTCTGTAGACTTGAGCAAATGCACTTAACCCAACATGCCTCTGCTTCCTTGTCTGTAAAATGTGAAGCATAATAATAAGGTTGTGTATATAGCATTTAGCACACTACCTGGAATACTGTCAATACTAAGCAAATGTTAGTTATAATAATTGTCACTGACATCATCACTGGTTTTCACAGCCCTGGAGTCAGGACATGAATTATGGTAAATTCCTTTTTTTTTTTTTTGGCCATGCCGTATGGCACGAGGGATCTTAGTTCTCCAAACAGGGATCAAACCTGCACAGAATCTTAACCCCTGGACCACCAGGGAAATCCCATGGTAACTTTCTTGAGTCAACTAGCCTTCCTATGGCTGCAATACACAGGGGCTCTGGTTGATGTAGCATGAAATGAAACAATATAGTATGCGAAGCCCTGGGTGAGCCCTGTTATCTCAAAGAACAGTTTCTCCTTTTACCCTGGTTCTGCATGATGTCAGGGCCAGGCTGTGCCCCAATCTGGGGTATCATTGGTTCATTGGGTAGGATCCCATGTTAATGAGCCTACATAGGGTTGGCCGTGGTGCAGTTTACTTTGTTCACTTATGCATTAGCCTCCATTTCCTGGCATCTGATCTGGACAGGTCCTTCTGACACGGCACTTCTGATCCCCTAGTAAGACCCATTTTACAGATAAGGAAGTCAAGAGGGTAAGGAATGTTCCAGGCTACACAGCTGTCAAGGGCAGAAATGAGCTTGGAAACTATCCTGGCTAGTCCCCACACTGATTCTCTTCCCTGGCCAGGCTTTCAGAGCCCACAGGTAGGTGAGCAGAAGAGGAGCTAAGCAAGGTAGGAAACCCCAGCTCTGTTCCTTTGAAAACTAGGTGATGTCACTTCACACAGTCCCTGTCTTTATTCTTTCAGGCATCACAGCCCTTCTAGAATCACAGACCCCTGGGTCTGAATCATCCAGTCAGTGCTTGAGAACTTCCCACTATGGCACCTCCCCCCACCAAGTAGTCATGAGGCTCCAAGGAGCCCATTATCTCCTGCAGCAATTCATCCTACAGATGGGGTAAGGATGGTTAGAACACCTTCCCCTACTTGGAGCTGAAAGCTTCCCCACAAAATTTCCATCTGCTAGTGCAAGTTTGGACTCTCCAGGATGCAATAACAGGCAAAACAATGTTTTCTCTGTGCAAGACCCGGGTCACACCATTGTTAGGAGCAGCGGGGTCCCTAGCACGATGCTTCTTAGACCTCTGTAATCTGAGACTCCCTCTTTGTTGCTCCCAGTACTTTTCCACACTCTTTATGCATGTTCCTCAGCCCTCCACAGTTCTCTGTTCTTCCTTCTGTCCCATCCCCTTCTTGGCTTTTCACAGGCTCCCAGGGTCGTCCCACTATTTCCCCAGGAATTGCCCCTTCTCCTTGTCCTCTGGGTCCATTTGGGACTACCAGGTCAGACTCGGATGTCTCTGCCATCTCAGCCAACTTCTATTTTAGTGTCTCTGACCCCTGGCTCCTGGCAATCTTTTCTCTAAATTCATAGAGTTCTAATCTGGCCCAACCAGATTTCTCCCTAAACCATAACCACCTCCTCCATCCCTCTAAGGGGGCAAAACCCAGTGAAGAAGAGAACCTTCAGGGATGGAAGAACATTCCTAATGCTCAGCACCATTAATTTTCAATCTCTCCCAATCTAAGCCCAGCTCACAAACAAAGAGCATCCCAATAGAAGGCTTGAAGAGCCATGAAACCTAAGTCAACCAGCTACCAACAAGGAACAGGTAAATTCAGCAGCTCCATAAGGATGTTTGATGCCCTGTTCTGCTGGGTCTGCCCTTTGCCTTACCTCCTCATCACCAGCTACCTGCCCAACCAACACAGGCATATCCAAAGGAGAGAGTCAAGCCCGTCAAGCCCCGGGTTAAAGTGAGGGGGACTTTCCCAGCAGCTCATCAGTACATGCCCCTTCCAAGCTATTTGACCAGACTTGGCTTCCATATTCATTCCTCAGCCTCTAGGAAGGGGAGGCTATAACTGGGACCAGTGGGCTGAACAGACCCTGCCCACCAAGGCCTGGAAGGACTCCATGTCTTCTGAGTATGGAGGCACCAGATTTACAACATCACTGCTCTTATCAAGGAAGAAGCAAGATGTGCTGTGGGGCCAGCCAAAGCTTCCCAAGGAGCTCATGGAGAACAGGTTCCTCAAGGACATGAGCCACAGGGTGCTGACCCCAGCCCCCAGCATCTCCACCTGTGCAATTCAGCATGTGCCATAGAGAGCCAGGTATCACATCAGGAGGGCCATGCGAGTGCCAAGATCTGTTTAAATTGGGAAGTTCGGAGTTGTCTGCTACTAAAACACAGTCAAGTAAACAAAAAAATAAATATATATGTCAAATCATACATTTTTTTAACCTCAGTCTTAAAAATCACATGAACACAGATGTTCTTAAACTCATTCAAAGTGGGAAGGAAGTGTGAAAAATACGAGTTCTAGAATTCTTTATGAAATCTTGGTCAAGTTAATTAAATTAAAATAATTTAATAGAAAGAATATTTATTATATGAGGGTATATATATTTTCAACAAAGAGAAAAACAAACCATACTATGCCTAAGTTTTCTATTGTTACTAGAATTTGGTCTGGGTTTTTTGGGTTTTTTTTTTTGAGTATAGTTGCTTTATATGTTGTGTTAGTTTCTGCTGTACAGCAAAGTGAATCAGCTCTACAAATATATATATATATCTCCTTTTTTTTTTTTTCTGGATTTCCTTCCCATTTAGGTCACCACAGACCATTGGTCTGAGGATTTTTTCCCTCATAATTTAGCGCTTGTTTTTGTTGTCTATCCCACAGGGCAGGAGCATAAAAAATTTCAGGAAAATGTCTGGAAGGAAAACTAAGACTTGATATAATTTGATCTATGTCAGTTAGTAAATTAAAAATTAGTAAAAGCCCACCATTGTCCAATTTTAGAGGACAGTCTCCTCCAAGCCTCCCTCAGAACATGCTTTGAGGACCATCAATCCAGGCAAACCCTCTCATTTGTTTTCTGCAAAAGTTACCAAGGCACACACATATCTTTGGGTTTCCCCAAGGTCACCCAGTTAATTATTGACATAGAAATTCACCTCCCAAAGAATCATAGTAATTTCCGACATCACCTGTCAGGGATGCATATCAGGGATGAAGAAAATTCTGTATGTGGCATGGGCCTGAGCTAAGCATATATGATCATGAGTCCAAACGTGCCATAGACTTGAAAGCTTTCTAATCCACCTATGCGCAGAAGAATAGAAGCTTGGAACTCATTTCAAAAGTTGTTTCTGTGATTTAAAGACACATGCCTCTCTCCCATACACACACACACACAAAGCTGCGTGCACATTGTCACCAGCAGACACTGACTCTCAGACTCTGAGGCTTGAGGCCCAGGTGTGACTCTCTGGGCCTTTCTGCTGCCCAGTAAGGAACAGCCTGGGCTGGCTCCTGGGCTGATTCCCTCCTCCCAGCCAGAAACAGTTAATTGCCAGCTCCAGGCTGCCTCCAGCCCAGCCCTAATCGGCCAGATCTCAGGCGGCCACGCTGGGGCCGCGCGGCAGCTCCAGACCAGGCCCTGGCTGTGCTGAGCAGTGAAGGCATTCTTCCAAGGTAATGATTAAGCCGAGCACCTGGCAAGCTGGGAAGGTGAGCCCTATTCACACCTTGGCCAGGCTGAGGTGGCCTGGACTGGTTTGGGAAGGCAGGGCCCCAGCGTGCACAAGCCCAGAGCTGGCAGCCGCAGCCTCCCGCTGCACACAGACGGCCTGGAACCTCTCGGGCCAGAGCTTCTGCTGCCTGCCCTGCTGGGACCCTGCCTCGCCCCCGGCACCATGAAGCAGCAGGTGTTCTGGACGGGGATGGAATACACCTGTCGGCTCCTGGGCATCACCACCGCTGCAGGTAAGACCCTGCCTCCCAGCTCTGGTCCCCTGTGTGCTGGGCTCAGCAGACAGGGCTGCCCAGGGGGTGGGCACCAGCCAGTGAGGGATGGGCAGAAACATCTGGCCACATCTTCTTCACTTTCGTCCCCCAAACCCCAGAAACACGGCTCTTCAGGGCAGTGGCAGGTGCAGTGGGATGAGCCTGGGGCTGGGATGCAGGGACATGGCACAGAATCTCTGCTTGGCCACCCACATTCCATGTGACTTTGGGGACCCTTAGCATCGTCATCTGTGAAATGAGTTGAGGGGTACCCCTGCCTTCTTGGGGACTGTTGCGAGGTGGATGGGGGAGACCTGAAGGTGAAAGTGTAAAGGGCCGGGCAAATGTAAGAAATGGATTCCTCTCTGTATGGACATGGAAATGGTCAATGGAGTGCACCTTGTTTTGTTCAAACCACAACCCACTTCATGGAGGGAAGCTGCACTCGGGGATCCCAGGCTTCCCTTAAAGCACTATGGGTTAGGGGAAGACAGAGTTCCCCGTGCTGGACTGCTCTTTCTCACCCAGCCTGATTTGGGGGCTGCTTGACTTGCTGGGATGATGGGTGGTTACAAAAGAACCTGAGCAGCTGTGACCCTGAGTTCTGCCTGCTCACTTCCCCTGCTCGAACCCGGTCCTGAGCCCTGCGCCCCCCGTGTGGTCAGGACCTCTGTTGGGAAAGTGAGCAGGCAGCACTCTGAACCCTTAGCTCTGGGCCCCACTGAATTTTAAGGACCAGGAAGAGACACCCTCTGCTGATCAAGTCCATGCCTTCCTACTGCTACTCACAATCTTCCATATTCATCTTGGCAAATGGGAGATGGCCCCCAGCTGATCTCAAACAGGGCTAGTCCTGGCCCTGTCACCCGGCGATGCATGGCCTGGGCAAAGCCACCTGGGTGCTCTGGGCTCGTGCTTTCTGGTCTTCAGGATAAAGATAACTGGACCTGCTGGCCAGGTGTTTTAGAAGATCAAGGATGCATGAACTGAGCGTAGCTAAGTGGAACTGAGGATGTAAGCCTCTTGAGAGAAGCCCCAGGACATACTTCAGAGCTCCAAGGGGATCTGTGTCATTCCCAAGGTAATATGCTAGCAAACAGACTTTTCTTAACCCTGAGTTAGCACACGGAGGGCTGTCGTCAGTGGTCTAATCCAACGCATCCTGTTACAAAACGGAGCACTGAAGTTCAAATAGGGGTAGTGACCTTGCCCAAGGTCATGCTACAAGTCAGGGGGACAGCCGAACTGGAACCCTGATCCCTCGATTTTTAAAAGGCCAGGACTCTGGCCAAAGAGCTCCCTCTTCCCAGGGTAAGAAGCCCAATGCTGCAGGGGCACTAGAGGGTCTGGAATTGCTCTGCTGAGGGTTCTGGGTAAATGTACAAATGGAGGCCTCAGCTCCAACCTCTGTTAGAACCACCACGTGGCCTGCACCTGGAAGAAAGAGTGCCAAGCCACCTTACTATCCAGCCTGGGGGAGGGAGGTTAGCCCTAAGGGTTTCTGTGTCTAGGGTTCAACACTCTACCACTGCTGATCTGGACTTCACCCTGCCATCCTCTAAGTCTTGGTTTCCAAATATGTAAAATGCACCCCTTTCATTTGTCAGAAATCACAGTGACACTTCTCCCTGTCATACTCTGCCTGGAGGGGAGGGGTCTGCAGCTACACACACATAGCACCCCCCCGCACACACACACATACTACACACATACAAACTGTGCCTCTGAACCACAACCCTTATCTCTTGCAGAAGGTCACTGTTAATGCAGAGAACGGGCCTCCCGCTTGGTTTTGATATAGGGTCCAGGTTAAATACAGGCCACTATATTGCTTTCTAATGACCAGGCTTTCCAGAAATGGTGTTTTGGGGCTTTCTAGAGTGCTAGGAGTAGGTGGGAAGCTAGAAAGAGGGGTGTTAGTCATCTTAGGGAAATCTCAAGTTTCTTTCAGCATCCCTGAACTGCTGGCCTATTTCCAACGTGTAAGATTTACAAATTCCTTATTCCCTTAAGCCTTTTTTTTTTTTTCCCCTGAAATCCTGTTGAGAAGTCCAAGCCTTGTGAATAGGGGCATTGCTGCTGGAGGGGAAATCAGACTTGAGACAGAGGCTGTCACTTTGCAGAAACCCTGGGAAACATAAAATAACCCTGGTCCCCCTGTGTGGAGGAGTGTGGGTATCCTAGAAACTAGGAAAAGCGTATGACCCAGGTCACCCAGAGTGTCACCTGCAGGGACCAGGCAACTCCTGATCCAGCAGCCCTTCCCGGGTTTCCCTTTCCCTCTGCAGAAGAATCTGAGGCTGTCAGCAGCTCAGAAGGCACCAGGCCCTGGGGACACACACCAGGATGGCAAGCCCAGAAGCTGTGGCCAAAGCATGCCCTGTGCAGATGCTTCTTGGCTAAGCTCAACTCTTTTTCCCCATTCAGCCCCTCTAAATGAAGCTCCACTAGGATGTCCAGGGATCCCACAGGCCACTGCTGTCCCACCCACACAACCAGCCCACACCACAAGTGGACACAGAGTATTGCCACTGCCAAACAAGGGTACACAGGCTTCGCAGATTTCCCCCCAAATAGAAGTGTTTTTAAATTTAGAAAATGAGACTATTCTTGCCTTTGGATCAGTCGTAAAGTTGCCAGATCATCACAGACCCGTTCCTCCTCCTTTACCATACACTTGGCTAGCATCATTCATTTGTACCCCTTTCCTGGCCAGGGAAGGCATTGGGAGTCCCTCTTTTGCTGAGATGTGTCACCAGACACACAGACACACATGTGACTGATTGAGACCACCCTGTCAGTCAAGTGCCCCCACCATCGGTCCATCCTGACCAGGCACAGCCTCAGGCAGGTGGGGTCATGGCGAGAGTGGATAGAGTTACACTGAAACAAAGGAAGGTTGACCAAACACTTCCTAAATCTAAAGACTGGCATTCTTTTTATCTGCAGAATTATATGATCGATTTTATTGAATCAAAGATTCGTTAAATTCTACAGTACTTAACAACTTTCAAAAGTTTCACACACATGATTTCATATAGTTCCACAATAGCCCTTTGTGTTTCTTCACCCTTCTGTCTCCCCACTGGTAACCACTCATTCGTTCTCTGTATCTGTAAAGTCACCGATATTTAATCCAACTACTCATGCTCTGTCTTTGAATGATTACCAAGCATGCTTTGACCAGTACCACCATGACTATCTCCAGCCAAACTCACTCCTGGACCTCATCTGGGGACAGAGAAATCTGCACACACTTCCAGAGGGAATTATCACAGTAGGACCTTCCATGTATGTGTCCAGAGATACGTGACTGACAACAAACTCGAAAGTCAATTATTAATTAAAGTCACTGCCACAGACTTACCAGTGTCCATGAGGACCAAGCGCTGAGCTAAATCTCATTTTACAAATAAGGAAGTGAAGGATTAGAATGTTCAGGTAGTTTGGTTAAACAGCCAGTGAATAGCAGGTCTGGTCTTCCCAGATGGCACAGTGGTAAAGAATCCGCCTGTAATTCAGGAAACATGGGTCTGATCCCTGGCTCAGGAAGATCCCTTAGAGGAGGACACAACAGCCCACTCCAGTATTCTTTCCAGGAAAATCCTATGGACAGAGGAGCCTGGTGGGCTACAGTCCATGGAGTTGCAAAGAGTCGGGCATGACTTAGCAACTGAACACACAAGCAAACAGCAGGCCTGGGGTTGGAGACCCGGTCTGCCCAGTCACAGGGCAGTGATGCAGTGGAACAAAAGATCTGGAAGTCCATCTAGGATTCATTTAACTGGCAAACACTGACTGAGTTCCCACTTTGTGCAATGTAGGCACGTGGATTAGGATGGTATGGCCTCTAGCCTAGAGAAGTACGTCTAGGGGCTGTCAGCACACATCTCCCAAGAAGACACCACACAGCCAACAAGAAAATGAGCTGGACTTGAGATAAAGCCATTTTAAGCAAATCTTGCTTATCACAAATCAATGTGGGATCAACCTGGGGTCACTTAGGAATTTTGTGACCCATTAACCTCTTCTCTACATAAACGACAGAGCTGCATTCCTGACAGCCCCATGCCTTGCACAGCCCATTCAAATGGAGACTTGGCTTATTAATATAGACCAGGATAAAGGAAGCATTTAAACCTAGATGTTCTCATTATTTTTTAAAGAGTACAGCAAATGCATAGTCTGACTTTAGTCCTATTTAAAACCTTTGGAAGAAAGACAACTGATGCTTCTGAGACAATCATCTTGGGCCCTTCATACTAATATCCGCTCTTCTTAAATGTATGTCCCTGTGACCTTCTCCTGCCACCTAGGGAAGCTTCATGCACTCCAACAATCTGCAGGTGGATTTATTACCCAAGCAAGACCTTATTGTTTTCAGATCTTCTAAGTGGATGTAAACTGTTTTCCACTCTGATTATTCCAGTGAGCAAATGAAATATTCCCATCTTTGTTCCACCCTCCTACCATTGGGAGATAATAAATTTGATTCAAGTATTTCTCTCTTTACTTCTTCACGCCTGTGACCTCCTTATTAGGGGCTTCCCTGGTGGGTCGGACAGTAAAGAATCCTCCTGCAAAGCAGGATACCCAGGCTCGATCCCTGCGTTGGGAAGATTCCCTGGAGAAGAGAATGGTTACCCACTGCAGTATTCTTGCCTGAAGAATTCCATAGACAGAGGAGCCTGGTGGGCTATAGTCCATGGGGTCACAAAAAATCAGACATGACTGAGCAATAGACACTTTCACGTCACTTTCCTCCTTCATAGAGTTAGAACAAAAAATTTAGAAATCCACCTAAGACTCTTTTATCTGGAAAATATTGGCTGAGTTCCCACTTTGCACAATGTGGACACATAGATTAGAATGGTATGACCTCTAACTTAGAGACCTCTATGATCTGACCAGGGAGACAAGCTAGTAAATACATATCCCAGTGCCTAGCTCTGAAGCATAGTATTTGGGAGGGTGAATCT